GGTTATTGCCACCGGCACAGAAGGTGAGAAGCAGACTTACAAATGATTTTGTGTCTCTGTATGGGGTTTGTTGACAACAAAACCTACGCAGTACAATCCAAACAGTATTCTTTATGTTGTACTGGTACGATTCGGAAACAGTACACAGTTTAAATACTGCACGAAACTTCATACTGAGCATATGATGACATTTAGTCTTCACTTTAATTCAACTACAGCATGTATGTCTATGCATGATGAAAATATACTATATTTCTGTATCATTTGTTGTTAGATTATATTATTATCATTATTATTTTTAATAATAATAATGTTATAATTATTGTTATTTACTAATAATGTGTTTAACAAATAATCATATACATATTTAAAATGTAATTAATAATAATGTTCAGTTTAACAGTTTCCTGTTAAAAACTTTAATTTAGATTTTGTAAGCAGTGAATTTCATAAATATTGTAAAACTACAAAGTGTATTATGTTGAGTAAATATAATGAAATTAAAATAGACTAAAATTATATTTTGTCACCTTAAACCAAAGTAAAATTATTATCCCGGCCTAAAACCAAGTAACAATCTCCTGAATCAAACAGTTGTTAAGAGTGAACATTAGTTGGTTTTAGGAATCGAACAGTTCACCTCTTACGTCGGTGCTCTGATAACTACACACTACCTGAACAGTGGAAATGTATTGTGAATTGTTGAAAGTCACTCATGGCGAACAACTCCAGCGTCTCACGTCTCAGAACGAAAGGAGGGAAAATAAATGTAAAACAACACGGAAATTTCATTTCACATTCAGAGTTGTTTGTAGTCGGAGCGCGGCGCACTGTAAATACAAAAGGAAATGTGTCGGGAGGAAAAGCAGCTGTGTCAGAGAGACGGATGGAAAAGGTACAAAGCTGGGATAGTGCTGCTAACAAACTCCATTTTGTGTTGCTGCAGCTGTTTCCATGGAGCCTGCTCTCCTTTTCTTCTGCTCTCTCTCTCTCTCTCTCTTCCTCTGTCAATCCACTCTCTCCCTCTCTCCCAGTCTCTCTCCCTCTATCTGCACACACACACACAGCAGAGTGTCTGAAAGAGGATTCAGCTGTGTGAGTCAATCTGCAACCAAGCGCAACTCTGAGAGAAGCCCTCGTCCTCCCTCTAACAGACTCTTCTGCTCTCCTTCATCTCCTCAGCATCACGCCCATCTCATCATTTTCTTTCAACCTCATTACAATCATTTCTTAATTTATTCCGAACCCCAGTCACAACAGCAAACCAACATTCTGCGCCGTCAATTACCGTGTTTTTAAAACATCGCTCACATCCACGAGGAACACAGGATACAGTTCATGTACACACACACACACACACCGGGCTGTGTTTTCCAGCCAGCCTAATTTGGAGTGTATGTGCCAATCAGCGGTGCTCATTACACCCAGCTGCCCTACAAAGATGGCCTAGAAAAATGCCCTTGACGAAGAAAGTGGGAGAGAAAGAGACGAGAAAAAAAAGAGAGGCTTACCGAGGACTCCGACGCGATAGTTGAGAGTGATAACGATGACATTTCCGTAGCTGGCCAGGACGCTCCCATCAATCATGTTGCCGGTCCCCTCCATGTAGGATCCTCCATGGATGTAGACCATCACGGGCTTGGCACCGGTGTCTCGTATGTCTGCAAGAGTGGTCATCATTAAGGCATTCACATTGTCGTCCACCCACTCTGATCAAGGGTCAGCTCACATTCAGACACATAAACCTCCCAGATACCAGCGAGGAGAGTTTCGTCTTCTGGCCGTCGATGATTATCTTGTTTGTTATTCTCTATCTTTAGGCTCAGTGAGAAACATTCTCTTGCCCTCCCTCCCTCCCTCACCCCCATCATGAGGCGAGGTTTAGACTCGATTATATTAATTTGCAATCCGAGCAGAAAATGTTCTTGTCATTTACTCAGATGAACTGAACTATTAGGGATTTTCTGTTTTGTTGCATTCCTGGAGGTGGCCACTCAGGAAGCCATTAGAGAGAATAAAGCGAGAGGTAGTCTGACACGTCTCTGAAACAGGGAGAAGGCCTAATCTGGCTTGACAGTGATAGGGAAAACGCAGCAGCTAATTACACACACGCTACCATCTGCCTCCTATTCACGCAGGCCTATCTCTGGGCAACAATTATTTATTTGCAAGGTCCCGCTTGGTGATCCAGACAGTTAAATTTGGGCTGCCCTATTGTTCAAATCTTTATTTTATCCTAGTGCCCCAGCTTGACACCCCGCTGAAATTACACTTCAGCCAGATACAGCATGTCCAGAGGTAACGGTGAAAAAAAAAGTCTAAGAAATGGACTGAAATACTGACTGGCCAACAAGAAAAAGGAAGAAGACAGGTCTAAAAAAAAAAAAATCTCTCTCTCATTTTCACTCCTGCTACTCCTGTGTTATGTGTAGCTTCACGCCTCTGCCTCGCTTACTTTGTATTGCTTTCTCTCACAGGGTCACCCTGTTTTTTTTCCCTCTGTATTCTTTCCATTTCTGTCAAACTCCCTGTGAAGCCCCTCAAGCTCCGGGAATGGTGAAAATGAGAGAAGGTGAGAGGAAAAAGAGTGAGGAATTGAGATCAAAAAGAACGACCTGGAAAAAATACTGGTGGAAAAAAAAGAGAGAGAGAACGTGAGAGAGATAAAAAAATGAAAGTAATTAAGAAAAACAAAACATCAAAGAACATAAAGGCCCAAATTTTGTATTCTGGTTGCTATGGTGACCACAAATTTCAGAAAAGGTAAGCTAACCATGCGCCACACCCTGCACTGATTTGCGTACATCTGCATACGCAGCTCATCGCTACGCTACGCTTTCCCTCACATTAGCAACCAGAATAACTGCTTAACCGCATTCACCATGGTTTTCTTTGTAACCCAGAGCTCAGCCTTGAGTCACGGTGTGTGTGTGTGTTTTATTTTTTTATGCCTCTGGTTATTCATGGCCCTGTTACGTTTAAAAGCAAAGCAATAACTTGTACATGATGTGGCCTTATTTACGACGTTCTTTATCTCGCTGGTATCTGAGAAGGCGACGCAGTCAATTGTAATTTATAGCTGACACTTCTTTCTATGCACACACACTCACTTATCTTGAATAGCAAGAGGGGGGAATACGTGGGGCGGGAGAGCATGAAAGGTACAGGCCTGAGCGGGCGGGAGAGGGGGTTTTTGGGAGGAGGAGTGGAGGTGAGCGGGTCAGAAGAGAGGAGAGAAATCAATGACACTGTTCTACAAAATGGGTCACAGATACAAAGGATGAGTCAAAGAGCAGGAAAGAACAGGGGGAGAAATTGGGGAGGAGAGAAAAAAATTAGTGGTGTCATTGTTATCAGTCACCTCTTTTGTTGATTCACAGCCTGTCTCCATGACAACAGTTAAATCCCTTCAGAGTGTTACAAGATATCGAGGCTTCACCTGTTCTGATCTGTTTATCGACTTGATCTGATGCTGTGGGGGTGGGTGGGGAGTTTGGGGGGCGGGGGGGTGTCACAGCTCCCACCTGACAGTGACTCGTGTAAAAATTTGCATGCACCAGATCCCGGTTTGACCTGGGTTTACCTTCAAACACAACTTCATCATTTCAGGTTATTACACCAACATCTGGACCAATCAGTGGGATTACACCTCTATCACATGATGTGGATGAACTGATGGAGTTAAACAGGCGGTTTATCAGCTGACCTCACCTAAAGTCATGTTGGCAAAACACACACACACACACACACACACACACATGTTCAAAGCATCGAAATTCAACAAAAGCCCTTTGTGCTGGGAAGGAGATAGAGACACATTGATTAATGTACAGTCATTTATCTGCATCAGAACTACATGCACAATCAGCTAGAACAAGAAATAGTAAAAACCAAAAAAATAAAAAGTTTTCCAGATGATTAGAAATGTGCCTGATGGAAATGTAGATGATGGCAGATGTGCGATGAAGAGTGAGGAGAATAAAAATAATTTATTCCCAGAAACACACACACTCTTTTCCTCAGGATTCTGTGTCACACAGAGAAGTGTGGACATGCTGTGTCTACTGTTCACACCCAGACACTCACACTCGAACCAAACAGCAAGATACTGTATTAAAAATGCATTGAAACTGTCAATTATTGACTCAATAGATGTAATGATTTCAGTTCCGACTCGACAAAAACAGACTGGATAAACGGAGGGAATTCACGCCTAAACACATCACAGGGTTGACTTTTAGCGGCAGATGAGGAGGACAACCTTTCATGGTGGCTCCAGACTGATTGGAGGATCAGTGGGAGGCATAACTCAGGCCTGAGCTGTTTCCCTGAGTGTTGCCGCAGCAAGTCGACCCCACCAGGAGGGCTGGAAACATTCATTTTCTCCTTCTCTTTCTTATTTTCTCCTCTCCTCCTCTATCTCCATTTGAAAAACTTTTTTTTCCCCAACATTTTGTTTCTCATGTCCCTGAAAAGTCAGTAAAATTCCTGACGTTAAGCATTTCCACACCTGTCCTTCATACCCCGGAGTGGGACAGGACAAAGGTGAGTGGAGATAAGTGTTGGTGGCATTCACTGCGTCAACACTGGGTGAAACATGGCTGCTGTCAGACGTGATCAGTGAGGTCTGAGGTGGAGGGGAGCGGGTGCAGATGCCCCGGTGTGGCAGAACATGACATTCACCCGTGCTCTTGTCAGAAAAGCTTCTCACTTCACCCGTGACAAGTCCATTACTGGTCATGAAGAACAGAGAGTTCATCAACGAAACATTAAAAAAATGTTTCCTTTCACATTTCTTACCCATGTAGAAGCACCTGCTCCAGTAGGTGACGCTCTTTGCAACCCCCCTACGAAGCTAATGCTGCCTGACATATGGATAGTATGAAATTTAATGCTGATTTGTTTTCACTTATGTGTCTTAAAAAAAAGAGAAAAAAAAAGCAGTGTGCTGCCGTGAGAGTCGACAGCACACCTATAAACCTAATGGAAATAATGACCTTTGTGTGAAGGTGACTTCTCTCTGCCTTTGGCGTTTTTATGTTGAATATGATGTTGGCTGGCAGACAGAGCGCTGTGGTTTACTGAATGGAGGCAGAGAGGACGGGAGAGAGAAGAGAGGATGGGAGAGAGAAGAGAGGAACTGAGTGGGAGAAATAAAAAGACAAGACCCAGTAAGAAGCCTACAAGGCTATTAGCTAAAGCCCACAACAGCCGGCGTGAACCTAGTTGAGAGGAGGCGGCCGTGTCGCGCTGTCATCCTTAAGACTGGCACGCAGTTTTCGTTTGCTCCCGAAGCGAACGAGGACTAGCCCTTAAATCTCTCTGCCAGGTCTGCCGTCCTTGTTTGGAGCCACAGAAACTGACAGTGTACAATAAAAACGCCGTGTGGGATTTGGGTTCACAGGACAAAGACCGGTCGAATCGTTCTCCTCCACCTTTATCACCCACTTATTTTGCACCGGCCATATTTTGGTGTTGTTTATATCTTTCTTAAGAGCAGAGATCTCTCCGCTGACATAAACAGGGATCCTGGGGGTCACGGATCCGTATCTGTGCAACATCAGAGAGAAGAGGACTGAGTGGGAAATTAAACTATAGTCCACGAACCCCACGACTCACCCCCCCACTCCCCCTCCCCTCCCGTGGTTGATTCTCTACACTCCAGGCAGCCTGAGCCTGAGCTGAGAGCTCTGCGGGAAAAGGATCGAGTCGAAGCTTCTGCAACGAAATTAATGGTAATACCGAGGCAGGTGGAGCTTAGCTGTGGAGTTGAGGGGTGTGTGTGTGTGTGTGTGTGATGTCTTTGTCATTTTTGGTTTATACGGTATATGTGTGTGCATGCTTGACTGATATAGCGGGTGTGTGTGTGTGTGTGTGTGTGCACTTTCATGCTGTGTGGAAGCATTACTCCTGATTAGAGCTGGAGTCTGGAGGTGCTGAATGACAGACAGACTTGTGTGTGTGTGTGTGTTTTCATCAGTGGGGGAGTACTAAAGCAGTGTTGATGTCACACACCGTGTGTCGGGGGTCATGACCTCCTGACCCACACCTTGTGTGTGTGAATGTTTTTGCTAATCATGTATTTGTATTCATTAGACAAGTGCACGTTTGGAAATGGAATGACCTCAACAATGTCAAAACAAAAAAAGAAAAAACAGTTCTCTGAGACCGAGATTTAAAGTGAGTTCTATAGACACATTAGTACTTAGTACTTTTTGAACCTTCTCAGAACTCTGCCAGAGTTTTTGCTTCTCACTGAATGCAACAAAATCAAACTGAAAATCTGTTTAATTTTACCGATGTTGGAGAAATAAATACCTAATTTTGTTGCCTTGCTGCACTGCACTCCCCAAGCGCAAACTTTTTTTAAAATTAGAGTAAAATTAAAGTGTCGTTCATGTTCTCTTCCAGTGCGTCAATATTTAAATAACCCCCCCAGCCCCCTCTCTCAGTTTGTGTTCAAGGCCCCACTCTAGTGGCCGAGAGTCTGTGCCAAGACAGGGCACAATCAACCCAGAGCCATTCTCCACCCCTGAGACTCAGCTCGTCCAGCCTCACCTCCTCTAGCAACATGCTAGCCTTTATCTTACAGCAGCAGGTCGGTGATTGAAAGCTTGTGCTGGTTTTTACAGTGCAGTTACTGCTTCAGTAAAATCCAGTCTTGATTGTGGCCCACTGTAAATCACTGCAACCGGGCGGACGTGTTCGGGTTGTTGGAGGGAGAGCTGCATAGAATTTGAATGAACTCAGAGGGTTGTCAGGGCGTTGACTGTTGATCTGACAGACAGGTGGACGTAAAGAGGAAAGAAGAGGAGCAAAGACATGGAGACTCGACAGCGACGGGCAGATCGAAGGATACAAGGCGAGTTGAAGGTTCATTAATTCAAGTTAAACATGTCTGTTCGTTAAACTCTCCGTTTGCTTCAATTCTGCCACACCGCTGATACACACCATCCAGCCTGTAGGGGGCACTAGGGCAGTAAAGCTTATCTGCGAGCTGCGAAGTAGACACAAGATGCATTGGATCTGCATTGCATTGCATCAAATATTGAAGTGTTTTATCATGATTAATTATCTAATTATAAACACTTAATTAGATTATTCTTTAAATTATGTCCTGAAATTTTTTTTTAGGTTATCTTTATTTTACTTAACTTTATTTTTCACAGTACATTTGTGCAGGAAGTGTCTGACCACTTCATTAAGGAACACCTTGGTAACAGTTTGATTAAAAAATCCTTTCCTTTACCATTTGCCTTCATTACTTGTAACATGTCACTGTTTCATTCTCCCGCTGAGACCGTTTAAGTAGCGTCTATCATTCAACCAACTAGTTTGCGTTGATGAGAATCCAGTAGGCAGATGGCATTTAGGTCCTTCTAAATTTGTACTAATGTGTCTAAAGTGTGCCAGGAAAATACCCCCCCCCTCCCCCCACCCACACACACACCAGTGCATCACCATGACAATGTGAACCACTGGAACCAGGCAGAAAGCTTTTTTTTTTTTTAATTCAGTACTCAGTAATATTCCCTTTGGGAAGATATCCGCTGCATTTAACCCATCTGTGAAGCGCCCCGATGATTAACACCACAAACACAGGTGCACATCTGAGCGTGTCTCCGTAGCAGCACAGTCGGCTTTAGCCAGTTCGTTGCCCGAGGCGAGATCACGGACACCCCGTCCCACCCACCACATTACCCCTTAGTAGTTTCTTTTCTTTTCTTCTGAGGGGTAACGGCTTCGCCCCTTCCACCAGATGGTGCTCTAAATGATCGGCTAAGTGTTTTAAGAGTCGGCAGGGTAGCAGTGGGGTTTTGGTTGAATCCTTTAAACACTAGGCCGCAGGCTGCACACTTTATACTTTTAAAAACCAAAATATCAAACCAAAGCTTTGCGGCAAAAAAAAACAAACAAAAAAAACAAAAAACAACAAAAACCTTGGATAACAGAATTGTTTTCTGTTTTCTTTTGTACCATATTAAGTTAGCCTGTAGCCTTAGATCTCAGTTCTTAGCTGTAATCTACTGTTGCCCAACTGGGATTCTAGGTTTAAATTCTACTTTCTACCAAATCCTGCTCTTGGCATACGTGGATTGGATTAACTTTTTTTTTTTTCTTCTAAAAACTCTGGTTAGACATGTAAAAGGAACTGAATATAAATCAGCAGTTTTTAAAAATACACAAGTCCATGTGGTACAACATGTATTCACTTACTATTACTATCTTCATCAGTACTAGGTCGATTTTGAATATCAACAGGTCGCCTTGAACCATGTCCACATGCCTCACTGCATGAAGTTGCTTTCATGTGAAAGCTCATCAGATGTCTCCATTAAAGACCAGCTGCTAGCATGTGCCTAATGAACTGGCCACTGAGTAGATGGAAGGATGACCACACCATTCACTTCTTTTTTCATTCATCTTGTATGTGTTGTGCCAAGATTGACTCAGTGTCTCTGCAGTTTTTAAAAAATAGATAAATACAGATTTTCTTTATAGGAACACGTCTTAAGGATGACAAGAGAAAGGTGAGCAGCTCCAACATGGAGGGAATTAGCTCAGGATAGACGGACTGCCAACTGAGACAGCATGGTGATGCTGGGATGAACAGACTGAAAGACGGAGGAGGGGGTGAGTCAGGAAACTAGACAGAAGCTCTCTGGACTGAATGAAAATGGTGCATCAGCCGAAGACAGCCGGGCGGCGAGTTCCGCCTCTGATCTGGTTCTCCTCAGCCTTTAACTTAAACACAAACGATTGATTTTCATTGGTTTAAAATGCCCCGCGGCGTTCGTGCTCTGGTGGACAAGATCACCCACTATTACATGCAACAACAGAACCGTCACTTGTGACTGTGAGCATGTGTATGTGAGGTAACTTACAAGGACTTTTGTTAAATGTACTGATCCTTCCTGCAGAGGGATAAACCTTGTTTTTTAGGGGAGGCACGTGGTGGAACAGTGGCTTTTGCTTTTGCCTTCCTGCAGTAAAGTGTATGGTTCGATCACCAGCTGTAACGAAAGGCCTTTCTGCACAGAGTTTGCATGCAATTCTATAGTTCACTTTTCCCACAGTCTGAAAAACATGCAGATTTGAGAGGATGGTTGTTTCCTTTTATGTGTTGGACTCCCAGTTGGTCCAGGGTGTAACCCGTCTGGCCCAATGACTGCTGGGATATGCAGAAACGCCCCCTAATGATAGGTATAAGATAAATGGGATAAATTTAGCAAAACAAGACTTTCTCAAACTAGTGCATTGGTATATTGAACCATGAGAGTTCAACACGGACACGGTCACTAGAACAGCGACCCCTTTCTTGGATCAAGTTTAAGTAACACTAGCAGTGGCAAAGCTACTGCTGGGGCCGCATTGAGCTTCTACGGTGATGCTCTGTAAATAGCATTAGTCGCGCTCGGTGAAGAATAGATTTGTCACATTTTCAGCGAGGCTAGTCTCTCACGACAGCTTGGAGACCAAGCCCCGATGTGCACAAGCAAACACTTGCCAGACAAAGGGATTGGCACTTGTCAGTAATTCTGAACGGCTTGACATTTGCTGATGCACGTAGGCTTTTATAATAGATGACAGACGTACACATGCGTGCGCCTATGTGCCGACTCAGGACAAAGACTGAAAGAAGACGGCTTCAGTAGTAGCAGCTTGCCCTAGGCTTGAATGAGAAAACACCTGTGTGTCAAAGTGACGCCAAGACAACGTTTCTTGTTCTATGATCAGACCCAGCGTGATACGTCCTTTTGAGAGACAAGCTAACTGGCAAAAAGAAAAGAAGCTTCCCGGGAAACCTTCAAACATCTGGAAAAAAAACCAAAAACTTCTGGCCTGCCAGCGTTGGCTCATCTTTAAATCCTTCACGAAACCTACAGCAATACTGCGGTGCTTTGTGCCAAGAATCAGAGTGCATTAATATGAGGATATGGCAATTAAGTATAACATTTAGCTTTCATGCCAAATGGAGGAGCCTTATGTCCTGAACATGTGTTAATGTCCCAAACAGTTTGGCGTCAAACATAGGGTTCCGTCTCGTTCGCCAAATGCACAAGAAGCCAAGATCCAATTTCGCTGGGAAACACACGGAGAATATATTGATGGCTTTACTCTAATACCCTAGATCATATTGGCTTTACCTGCCCTACAGTAGCAAATACAGGGGCGGGGTGATATAAGGGGGGTTTGATTTAGATTCAGACACTAAAGCCATTTGTGTTGTGGCGAAAGAATCGTCTCTTGTTCTAATCTCGGCAGAGATCCACTCTGAGCCAGGAATATCCCGAGATAAATATGGAAAGTGAACAACGTGAGTGCTGAGCAGCAACTTCCCATTTTCTACACCTCTCGCCCCTAATCCTCTCCAATAGCACTCCTGAACTGCCGCTCCTCATCTAAATCTGCTGGCAGACCGGCTGAACGCTCCGATATTACACTGCTGCTTTACTCCCCCTTCCACCATTATCACCACCAGGCTGCTGGCCGCACCTGATGAAGAGGCTCCCTGGACTGTTCTGCCCTTGTAATAACAGTTGCTTCAGTCATAGTTTGAGATATTAAAATGACCCAGCACGGACAGGGGTTTCTAGACAGCTCCATGATCCAATCTGACTCCTAACTCCACCGCTGCGCTCATCGCTTGAATTTCAATGCTCGGCAACAGAAGACCTTGACATTCACACACACACACACACACACAATCTTGATCATTAAAGGCAATATTATTCTACATACATAATGTATCGTGGATGAGTGATGAATGAGCCGGCTGTTAAAACCCCAAAGTAAATCAAACAAGAGCATAAATGGTGAGATAAAAGGTGACATTTTGGAGAAAAAGAAGTCATGCGTCATCTTTGTTCACTGTGGGAAATACCTTCATCTTCATCACCGTCATTATCCGAAAAATCCTCGCCCTGTTTTTTTGCATGGACCCCTGTTGTTGGAGCAGGGAGAGACATAGAGAGGCAAAGGAAATTCAAAATAACATGTTTTTGTAATACAGAGGTGGGAAGTTGAGTCATTTGACACAAAGTAGTTTTTCATGACACACATTAGGAATTACTAGGGCTGTCCAGTGGTAAAAAGAAATGTAATCACGTGCTCTGTGACCTGTTATGTTTATTTGATTGCAGGCTGGAGAGGGTCAGGGGTTTAGAGGAGACGTGGGCGTCAGTTAAAATACATTGTAAAAATAGTTTCAGACATATGAACTAGTACTTTTTAATAACTTATTTATAATAATAAATTTAATTTTAGGCGTTAGTAAATCAGTACAATTTATATACTATTGCTGCTTTTTCTTACATGTGCTCCTAACCCTAACCTCCTGTCTGCTGGTCTCATGAGTTTTGGCTGTAGTTTGTGCTTGTGTTATTTGGTGCAAAAGCTCTGCTCACTTTCTGTGTTTACTCTGTAGTTAAAATGTATTTCCGTCTTCTTTGATATTTTTGTTTATTTTATCCTTAGTTTTATTGGTATCGTGACGATAGTTTCAGTTGGAAAACTTTTTGTTTTATACAAAAAATGTGTTTCTTTTCGGATAGCAATATCCTTCTGTATCAGCGAGTACACAAATGGAAATACTCGTACTCATATTGGTTTGTAAGGCAATGACAACCCCAGGTAGAGAAGAAGAAAATGAAGAAGCACAGCAGCAGCTCAAGCGCCTGCTCTACCTCGGCCCCACCACCTTCAGGAGAGAGGTATGATAGATTTATGTTGCACAGCACTTTGATAATTCACAGGCGGAACGGCTGACTGACTATTTTTTGTGTAATACCTCGCAGTATTCCAGGGAGTATTCATTATTGTTGCACTTAAGCACAGCGAGATAAAAAAAAAAGGGAGAGATGGCGGTGGAGTGCGTGTGCGAATAAAAGTGCATCTGTGAGTCTCCCCTGGGAGGAGCCGGGGGTCACATCAGCTCAGGTGGTTAATTAACGCACATCTTTTTTGCATTTCTAATGGGATGAATTGACTTATAGCGCGTCTGGTGTTAGCTGGACGAAGTGCGACACGGTGATGTTACAACCGAAGCTGAAAGGCAACAGATGTCACACTGCCGTTGCTCTTGTCCGGTGTCATCCAGCAGTAAGGGACAGGACGGATGTTCCAGTCCAACTCATTACCCACCATTTGCCTGCAAATTTTAGTTTCCATTATTGCTGAGTTACCATGACAGACATAACAGGCGGCCAGTGCATGAGGCGCTGCACTCATGTACCAGCTGCAGTCAACAGAACATGATTACATTTCCTGTTTCATGGATTAATTACAGTTATTGTTGTATTGACAGCCCTAATAATACCAATTTTTAAAAAGACAATCATCACTTAATCACATTGTGTATTACAGTATTACACACAAAAAAACCTTCAACAAAACATTTTTGGAAATTTTAACAAAACACATTATACAGCAGGCAGATTTGCAGCAGAGTCACACACAACAACATTTTCAGAATAAAATATATATTTGTCACAAATTCTGCATTTAAACCCATATTTTTGTAATAAAAAGTAAACAAAACCAAACAATGTTTCTAAAAACGTTTTTTTTAATATATGTTTTTGGAACACTCTTATTTATTGGTGCTGACTGTGTTTTAGACTGTGTGAACGGGGCCGTTGTGTGTTTAAACAACACTTTAGAGACTTGATAATATTAATGGAATGTGCACCTAATCTTCTAACTTGCAGTCATAAAAAAGAAAATAAAATGATATTACCGGCAAATGTGGTTACTGCCAAGGTAACAGCTATAAACTGAGGATATAACAGATTTTCAAACTACAGACGTGAGCAAGTTCAGAGCGGCAGCAGCTCCCCTTCAGGTGCTGTTATTTGAAGCTTGTATCCTCAGTATAGTTACTTGACCGATGCCTTTTCTCTGAACAGAAGGATGTGAACAGAATGTGCTGTTGTCCTTGTGCCTCTACGTGATAATATTTAAATCCTGACCCTGAGGCCATTTACATCTCACCTACATGGAGCGCAAGCCCTGACCTGACCTACAGATGGTAACCCTTTTAAACTGGCCAGTTGGATGTCCACGTAATTTCGTCTGCTTTTTACAGCTTGTGAAAAATGTAACTTTAAAGTTTGTTGCATCTAAAATTTCAAGGTTTTGTGGTCCAGGGTGAATCTGAAGGATGTTGAATCACTGTGTTTACACCGGGGACGGCTTAAGACCGCATATTCATGTCTGATACAAATACTGCAACCTGGAGTATCTGGTAGGGCATTGACGACTTCTGACTACTCTGATGAAAAAGCCGGAGTCGAGTCGATGAGTCATCAGTGACGTCATCACATTGACTGACTTATACTTTGTAGTTTTTGCTAATGGAGAGAACACAGCAGTCAGTTGTTCTATCAGCTCTGAAGTCAGATGCTTGGTTCTCAAGCCGTGACAAACACATGATTGGTGTCCCGCGGTGAAATGAAAACACTTTTCCAAAGTGTGTGTAAATAAGGTGTGTATGTGTAATGACTGTGTATTAAAACAACGATAACTTAAGGGTCAGTGGAAATATTGTATATACAGTGTGCACAAGTCATCTTGTTTTTTTTTTTTTTTTTACACAAGTCATCTTGTTTTTTGTTTTTTTTTGTCTTGTCTTTGGTAAAGCAAAAAAACAAAAAAAGCCCCAAAAGAACAAAGCATCATATGTCAGAAATGCAGCGAGAATCGCTGTTTCAGACGACTCTGACGAGTGCGACTGCATTCCTTGCCATCTGCCACAAGTCAGGCCAAATTGATCACCTGACAAATTACGTTAGAATCAGCTATTTCCCAGCTGTTTCCAATCATTTCCTTTAAGGCTACTAATGGTACAAGTTGCTTTACATTAGAGGTAAGTGTTTACGGTCCCTAAGGGATGTTCCATATGTCCAATAACAGCGTTTTGACAAGGTATTTTTGAGTCCATTTGTTCTAAAAACAGAACAGTTGAGACAATCGCCTCCAGATCGAACATTTCCTCTGAGTAATCCTTTGTTTTGCATTAATTATTTTTTCTTTTTTTTAAACTCCATTGACATCAGCATGCCAAGCAGCTACCCTGGCCCCAGCAGGCTCAGAACATATATAATATAACCTTATATCTGGTAGATGCAACAATGAATAAATCTCTTCCAAAGTAACCATCTCAGCTCCCAGCCTGAAGATTAATGAGCAAAGATAACCTGTTAATAAAACTGACATTTCTCTATTTTAGCACCTTTAAAGAAATCAATTCTTCTCTAATTCAGGTCAGTTAGATGCTCAGGCGAGGTCAGAGGAAGGTCCTGTGTTAACTATGTGGTAGACGCTGAGGCTGTCCATCACATTTGCTTTGTAGGTTGAAACATATATTACACATTGTGGTGGTACATGACACCAACGGTGCTTTTAATTATCATGATTATTAACAACTTCACACTTAAGAGCATAAAGTTAGTGCGGCTCAGTAAGTGTGAAAAATAATTCACAGCTGTGACACTCATTATAAAGATCTGACACGAAAACCCGTCGGTAGGTATTTGTTGGTATGCATTACCTAATGTAAAAGTAATATTATGTGACATTATTTAAAAAGGCCATATACATAAGTATAAATAAAAAAAACAACTTTATTATTCAAGAAATATACAGGTTATTTAAACATACTGTGGGAA